GGGTTCTGTGCCCCAGAGCAAGTCCCACCCCCTTCTGTGATACCTCAGTTTCCCCCGTGTGAAGCTACTGGGGGGCAAGGTGGGGGGATGGGAGAGCCATTATGGTGAGACCCTGGATGAGCGGATAGGGGCCTGGCCTGGGGACCCAAGTAATCCAGGGTGAGATTATACAGGGCCTGGTGGCAACAGGTCTCTTGCAGCCGAAGTGGGGTCTGGGGTGGTGGCGTGGGCTGAGGGGGCTCAGTGGCTGGGGGTCATGTTCAGGGGGCTGGAACAATGTGTATTGTGGGGGTGCTGCCTGAGAGCCATCGGACCAAACTGTAAACCCTGATTGAAACTCCCCCAAGCCAGGGGGTGCAGCAGCAGCACCCGCAGGCCCAGGAGCTATGGCCATCTTGCTGTAATGGGGGAGGGGCCCGTGTGAGCGTCGGGGTGGGGAGGGCCCAGGAGGCCACGGCCTGGGGCACGCGCCGCTGTGGTGTGGGGGAGGGGCGCCTTCCCCCCCTCCCGTGACTGGGACCCCAGGGCCATTTCGCGCCGTATTTCAACCCCCCGGGGGGGCGGGGCTTGGAGGGCGGGTGAGGAATGACGCTCAAGGGGGCGGGGCTGGCGGGAGGCGGAGAGCGCGCGCGAAGGAGTGACGTGACGCGACGCGACGCCACGCATGCGCAGAGGGTGTTGTCGGGCCGCGCGGGAAGCGCGAGCGAGCTAGACAGCCGCGGTCGGTTGGGGGAGCGGGGTGAGGGGCAGCCCCTGGGGACCGGGACCGGGACCGGCGGGCTGGGCGGGGACGGCCCCGGGGTGAGGGGGCGCCCGCGGGGGACTCTCCCCGCCTGGGCCCTGGGGCCGCGCTTGGGGGCTGCGGACGCTGAGCCCCGCAGAGGCTGCGCGCAGGGAGCCCGCGACGCCCCGCGGGCTGAGGAGCCGCCCGGCAGCGATGGCGCAGAAGAGGCGCGGTAAGGGGCCCGGCCCCTCCCAGGTACGGAGCGAGCCCCGGGGGCCCCTTCTCCCGCCCCCCCCGGGGCCGGCTGGGAACGGCCCGCCCCCCCCCCCTCCCCCGTCCCATTGCCGCTTTGATGCGTCTCCCGCCCTGCGCAGGGGGAAGACCCGGCCGGGGACGAGGACTACGCGCTGACCCAGAGCGCCAGCCAGGTGCGGCGCAACCTGGAGCGACTCTCGCCGGCTCAAGTGGATCAGAAGGTGGGTAGGGGGAGGGGCGCTGTGAGGCGGGGGGGGGGGGGGGGGGGCAGCCCCCCAGGATGGGCCTGGCGTCTCCAGGAATTACATATTGATCGTGAACTAAAGATTACGGCGGGGGTCGGCAACCTATGGCACGCGCGCCGAAGGCGGCACTCACGCTGCCCGGGTCCTGGCCACCGGTCCGGGGGCCTCTGCCTTTTAATTTAATGTTAATTGAAGCTTCTTAAACACTTTAACCCCCTTATTTACTTTACATACCACAGTAATGTAGTTCTATATTATAGACTTGTAGAAAGAGACCTTCTAAAAACGTTAACATGTATGACTGGCACATGAAACTTTAAATTAAAGTGAATACATGAAGACTTGGCACACCACTTCTGAAAGGTTGCCGACCCCTGGATTACAGCACGGGATGAAACCTCCAGCAATCCAGCTAACCAAAACTGGCAACCCTACGTGGGGGGCCTGTTCCTCCCCTGTGGGAACCCCCTCCCTTTGGGTAATGCACCTTGTCCTCCACCTGCAGGTGAGCGAATTGGTGCAATACCTGCTGGTCAAGGATCAGAAGAAAATCCCCATCAAACGGGCAGGTAAGAGGCCTGCTAGATGGTCATGGACTTTGGGGGGGAGGCTCTGCAGCCCCCTTCAAATTAGCAGAGGCCATTTCTGTTCCCCACTTGGTCTGAATCCAGATCTCTGAGGCAGCAGAGCCAGGACTCAGCCATTCGGCCACAGTGACTTTCTCTAGCTTCCTCCTTCTGTGCCGCATCTGCATGCTTTGATTAGCCTTTTTCTAGCCTCCCCCCACTTCCCAGAGCTAGTGATAGGACCCAGGAGTCCTGACTCACAGCCTCCTCTGCTCTGACCCATTAGACCCCACTCCCTTCTCAGAGCTAGGGATGGAAACCAGGAGTCCTGGCTTCCAGCTGTCCCTGCTCTAACCACTGGACCCCACTCCCCTCACAGGCGGGGACAGAGTCCAGGAGTCCTCATTTCCCAATCCTCTTTGTATGGGTCACCAATAACGTTTGAAACTTTCAGAGACTCAACTTAGATCCCCATGGTGTAGACTGTGGGATTCCTGGGCGGGGTATCTGATGAGGAGGGGAATGTAGCTGAAACAGTCATTAAAAGTTACAACTCCAGACCTGTGGATTCTACTGCTGGTTCAAGTTGCAGTGGGGGAGGTTTATGTTGGATATTAGGAAAAACTTTTTCACTAGGAGTGTGGTGAAGCACTGGAATGGGTTACCTAGGGAGGTGGTGGAATCTCCTTCCTTAGAGCAGTGGTCTCCAAAGTGGGGTGCGTGGCAGGAGGAGCATTTTTGTTTGTTTGTTTTTTGCTTCGTCAGGCGGAAATCTGAGCAGCTTTTTTTGTTTGTTTTGGTGCGGCAGTGGGTGCGTGCTCAAGAAATTTTTACTGATAGGGGTGCGCGATCAAAAAAGTTTGGAGACCACTGCCTTAGAGGTTTTTAAGGTCAGGCTGGCTGGGATGATTTAGTTGGGGATTAGCTCTGCTTTGAGCAGGGGGTTGGACTAGATACCTCCTGAGGTCCCTTCCAACCTTGATATTCTATGATTCTTCTACTGGCCCTGCTGGGTTAGAGGGTTACCGCTGCAGGGGCACTGTCTTGCCAGCAGGGAGTGTTAGGAGCCATGGGAATAGCTATAACATGTCTCCCTCTCTTCCCCCTTGTAGATATCCTGAAAAATGTCATCAAAGACTACAGAGGCGTCTATTCTGAGATCATTAAGCGAGCCGGCAGGACCCTCCAGCAGGTCACCACGCTATGGGGAGTGGAACGGGGGGCTCGGCTAGGGACACACTCCCCTGGCAGGCTCTGCAGAGGGTGCTCTCTTTTGCCAATCAGTGCTGGGCACTAGGGGGTACGGTGCTGCGGGGAGCTTGGCAGAGGGCACTCTCCCCTGCCAGTCAGTGCTGGGTGCTAGGGGGCACCATGTTGCATGAGGGACTAGCTTTCAGCTGAGTGATCTTTAAAAAAACTTTTAAAGCTGTTGTGTTTGCCTTGGGCTTTGTCTGCACTATGACTTTTGTCGGTCAGGGGTGTGAAAAAACACACCCCTGACCGACATAAGTTTCACCAGCAAAAGTGCTGGTGTGGACAGTGTTATGTCAGCAGGAGAATGCTCTCCCGCTGGCGTAGAGTGGCTACACAGGATACACACTACATGCCAGCATAGAGCAGCTGCATTATGTCTGTAGTGTAGACATAGTCTTGATGTTCTTGGTTGGTATTATCTTGGCTACTTGCAGCCCTTTCCTCTTGCCACTCGCTTCCCAGTGTCAGGGATAGAACTCAGGAGTCCTGGCTCCGCCCATCATGCCCTGCTCTAACCACAAGACCCCACTCCCTATCCCATGCCTCCCTGAAATTAACCTCCCCCCCTCCTCCCCCAGGTTTTTGGGCTGCAGCTGATGGAGATAGACCCCAAGCATCACATCTACATCCTGGTCAGCATCCTGCCGCGCCTGGAAGTGGATAACTTGAAACAGTAAGGGGGGGGGGGGACTGGCTGGCTGGGGTGGGAGGCAGCATGACCGATTCCTCCATTTCCCCTCCCCCTCAAGAGGCTTCCAAGCCTTTAAGAGTTAATTCTTGTCATTAGGCTCCACCCACCAAACCCCACCCCACATAAAACTGCCATGGCTGATCCCTGCATGCCCCCATCCTGGCATTGTGTTCCTCTGCCCCCTAGTGGCCAGAAGGCTGCCTTGCAGTGTCCATGTGGCTGGAGGTCTGCTGGGAGGTCTATAGGCTGTCCCTGGCTCTAGTGATTAAAGTGGGGTAGGCTTTGAGCCAGGATTCTTTCTCCAGCTCTGGAAGGTTTGAGAGGGGTCTTTGCTCTGCCATTAAACCCTCTACTTCCTTGTCCAGATCCCTAGTCCTCCGCAGAGTTCCCTGGGTGAGTGACACCCCTCTTGTGTGTTGCAGGGATGATTGCACAGCAAAGCTGGGCCTCCTCACTGTCATCCTCAGCTTCCTCTTCATGAAGGGCAATGCTGCTAAAGAATGTAAGCCCCGCCCCTTCCCTGCGGGCCTTGCCCTTTCCCTGCAGGCTCCGCCTCCTGACTGACATTCTCACTTTGCCCTTTCAGCTGCTGTGTGGGAGACGTTGAGGAGACTGCGAGTTGACCCTGGGTATGTGCGGGGTCAGGGATACCAGGGGTTAACGCTGTCCCCTGCAGGCTCCTCCCTCTCTGGGCACCAGCTAATCAATGATGGGGCTTGCAGAGTGGGGGTGGAGCAGCCTGTGCCCTGAGGCCATGCCCCTTTAACACATTCCTATCCACAACCCCTCCAGAGTGAGACACGAGGTCTTTGGGGATGTCAAGAAGTTGGTGACTGAGGAATTTGTCCGCCAAAAGTAAGTTTGGGCTTGTCGGGATGCCTGGGTTCTGTGTCTGGGAGGGGAGTGGGGTCTAATGGTTAGAGCAGGGTGGGCTGGGAGCCAGGACTCCTGGGTTCTGTGCCTGGCTCTGGGACCGCTGTGCCCCCTTAACACTCCAGCCTCGGCTGTCTCGCACAATGTTTTGCTAGTGACAAGCAGCAACCCCCTCCAGGGACTGTGATCACTCAGCACAACCACATGTGGAGCCCCACCCCCAGCTAGATTGCATGAATGCTCCCAGAGCCACTCATGAATCACACAGAGGCCTTGGCTACACTGGCACTGTACAGCGCTGCAACTTGGTGCGCTCAGGGGTGTGAAAAAACACCCCCCTGAGCGCAGCGAGTACAGCGTTTTAAAGCGCCAGTGCAATCAGTGCCTGCAGCGCTGCACGCTTGCTTGCAGCGCTGCAACCTACTCCCCTCGGAGAAGTGGAGTACAAACAGTGCTGCGAGAGCTCTCTCGCAGCACTGGCGGTGCGACTATACTCGCGCTTCACAGCGCTGTCGCGGCAGCGCTGTGTAGTCCTGAATGTAGCCAAGGCCGGAGAAAGGCACCAGAGCCAGATCCCCTCCCCCCACAGCTCCCAGCCTTGTACCTCAGGCATATATCATCGTGCACTGCTCAAGATGAGCAGTGCAAATTTATTAATTGATTCACCACTTCATCAATGGAAAGTGGATATACACCAGCCTTTGCAAACCTGAGCAGATTTACCACACACATCAAGCAAACTCACTGGTAAAGATAAACCGTAAAAGAAGTTTGACTACAAAAGATAGATTAAGTGATAGTTACCAAAAGATAATATAAGCACACAGTCTAAACTCTCAACCCTATTAGACTGGGCAACATCTAGATAAAGCAGTTTCTCACCCCACTGGATATTGCAGTCCTTAATATACAGGTTTGTCCCTTCAACTGGGCCAGTCCCTTCTGTTGGAGTCTTCAGTCTTCTGAATGTCTTTGTTGCTTGCAGCATAGGTGGGAGCAGGAGAAAGAACACCATGGCCACATGCTGGGCCTGTTTTATTCCCTTGGTCCCATGTGCTTGAAGAACACAAGTCCAGACATGTCTGGTGGGCATTGCTGAGTCACAAGGTGAAGCAATACCCCGGTGTGTCTCCTGTGAGTAAGTCATCGAATTGTAACTCGCTTGCTGGACAATGGCTGTTAATAGTTGTTTGACACCCGCCTGGACGTTGGTTACTTTCCTTGGCATTGTCTCTGGAGAGCTAGTATCTGGGTGCTTCCCAAAGCGTATTTTAGTGACAACCATACAACGCAATAAGGTAGATGAAGTTAAAAAAATACATATTGTGACAAAGCTCTGTCCTTGTCTCCGTGGGTCCTGCGTTTCCTGACGGATTTCGCTAGCCTCAGAGGCTCACTGTGACCCTCCACTTAACCTTTGTCTCTCTAGAGACAAGGGTCACAGTCACTGAGCCATTTTCATCATAAGCCAGCGAGGGAGCTGAGGAGAAGCTATCCTCCCTCGCACTGTCTCTGTTGTCTCCCAGTCTGGTGATTAATCAGGGGGGCAAAGCGGGGAAGCCTGGGCCCGTCCGCCACTCCGGGCTCCAGCCCAGGGACCCGAATAGTATCAGCTATGGTAGCTGACCTTTTAGGAACAGGACACATACAATTCCCTGGGCTACTTCTCCACAGCAGCCTCCACTTCACCCTTAGCTCAGGGCCTCCTTCCTTGTGCCTGATACGGTGTGTACTGCTCAGTCTCTCCCACAGCTCCTGACATGCGCACCCACCTGACTAACTGGGAGGCTTTTAACTAGTTTCAGCCAGCCCCTGATTGGCTTCAGGTGTCCCAATCAACCTAGTGTCCTCCCTGCCTTCTGGAAAGCTCTTAATTGGCCCGGAGCAGCTGCCGTTTACTTATCCTGGTACCAGGGATTTGTTTAACCTGGGGCTAATATATCTATCTCCCACTACTTTTCTATAGCTGTCTGGCCTTGCCCCTCACGATATTTAGATAGAACAGTGACATTCAGCTGATCATAACCTTTCCCCGATACCTCACAAGGCCTGTTTTATATGCAGTATCACAATTATTTAGAGAGAGAGAGAGAGAGAGAGAGAATGTCACAGCGTCTAATAGAATGGGGAGGTGAAGAGCTAGCTTCCAGCCCTCTGCTCTAACCAGTAGGCCCCAATCCCCTCCCAGAGCCAGGCACAGAACCCAGGAGTCCTTCTGTCACTCACCCTCCTTGCACATTAGTAGATTTGGGCCCTGTTCGAGGTGCTGCAATGGCCCAGCAGGTTGGGTGGCTGCTCTCTGCGAGCCTGGGGGCAGGCGGTTCAAATCCCATGTGGCCGGTGTGTACAGAGCAGCCATGGCGGAGCCCACAGCCTTGCTGTTTATACCATGCCGCAGATTATCTCGTTGCCCCCGCATGCAGTCAGCCTAGAGGCCGGTTCCCTGTGCCGGAGGGCATCGGACACGCACACAGCCTGGGCTGGCCCTTTGCCCTTCTCTGTGGGCTGGGGAGATCCAGCAGCCCATTTTCTCTCTGGCAACAGGAAGGAGGGCTGGCCCCAGGGGCTCTGGGGAATGGAGAGCCCCAAGGGAAGGGGCATGGAGTTGCAGTGGGGGGGTGGATCCTACACCCCAAGGGGCTGTGAGGACAGGAGTAACAGGCGAGCTAGAACCCAGATGTCCTGAGCCCACTGCTCTACCTCTTCGGCCATGCTGGGAGCAGGTTACTGGGGTCAGATGGCTGCTCTTCGGGAGGAAGTGGGGCTGAGGGGGGCAGGGATTTATGTGGGCTCTGACGGGGGGGGGGGGGGGGGGTGATTTGGGCGTGGTTGCTGATTGCTGTGCTCTTGCCCCATCAGGTACCTGGAATACAACCGCATACCCCACACAGATCCACCCGAGTTTGAGTTCCAGTGGGGGGCACGGGCTGCCAAGGAGACCTCCAAGATGCAGATCCTGCGCTTTGTCGCCAAGGTACCTGCCTTCGGGGGTGGGGACTTAAGGAAGGGGAGGACTCAGATTTAGGGGGAGCAGAGCCTGAGCCCCCTTGAGTGCCTGGAGGTAGGGGTCACTAAGAGGGAGCTGTGGGGAAATGAAGACTAAAATCCTACAGGATAGGTCTTGGGGAAATGGGGGGATAGTCCCTGGGCAACCAAGGGAACTGAGGTTTGGGGTATCCCAGGGTGCCTGGGCAAGGGGGTCCTCCACAGGGGGCAGTAGACCTGTCCCTTAAGGGCTGCTGCTGCCCATGTAGGCCCTGGGGGAGATCACAGCCCAGCTGTCTCAATCTTCCCTTCCGGTCTCTTTTCATCAGATCCAAAACAAGGACCCCAAGGCCTGGAGCACCCAGTACACTGAGGCAGCAGCTGAGGAGGCAGCTGCGGGGGGCCTGTTCCAAGACATTAGCACCCCTGGAGACACTGGTGGGGCCAGCCAGGGGGCACGGAGGAGGACCCGGTGAGCCTTGTCCACTTCACCCACAGGTGGTCTGCCCCATGATGCCTTGTGAACCAGCAGACCTGAGAATTAGGGGAGCTGTGGCCTCTGCCCATGCTGAGCCTAGCATCCAGCACCCAAGGGTCCACTGTGGCAGCTGCCTCTGCCCTCCTGATCTCAGCCCACCTGAGACATGGCCCATGGACAAATGGGTTGTAAAATGCAGTTTGATTGTTGTACATTGATGAGCTCAGCTCCAGAGACCGCTCCTCACCTTTCTGGAGGGGGGCATGGGCAGCTTGTGTGAACCCCTCCCTCCGGAGTTGCCATGGAGTGGGTTTCTGCCACACGCAGGGGCTGGCTCAGAGCTGGGCACTGACATGACCTCTGATCCTTGTGATTCACCCACGACGCTTTCAAATAAAGTCCCCTTAGTGGAGTATGCAATTTTCTGCGGTGGGATTTTAACTACAGGGGGTGAGTTTCTGGAGGCCAGGAGCATTCTAAGCTCTTGCCTGCTGCCTGTGTGGAAGGGGGTTTGTTTGTAGGAGGGGTCCTAGATGAGCGTCTCCGGGAAGAAGCTCCAGGCACAAGGCTATGTCTGCAGAGGGTTGGAGCACAGCAAGCAGCTTGCTGTAGCAGCCCGCGAACAGCGCTGGTGCTGGTGGCAGGTGATGGTCCTGGGTATGTTACCTGAGCTAGGGCTGTGTCTGCAGCTGCTGCATTCCTCCCTGCCTGCAGCGCCCCACAGTGGCAATCACGTAGCCTTGCTGTACAGTTACACAGGGGGGCAGCCCCCCCCCCGCCCCCCCCAGGTCATTGAGTGATCGGCTCAGGCAGCGTTGTGCACACTCAGGACGATTCCCCCCTTGCCAAGTGATCAACTCAGGTTCTCTGAAGACCTCGGCAGCGTCACTCATGCTCAGGGCAGCTCCCCCCCTCGCTGAGCGATCGGCTCAGGCTTGCTGCGGGCTAGAAACTGAAAGGCCAGCTCATGTGGCAATCTGTGACATTAGGAGCCAGGGCCCGAGGCCCCAGTCTAGCCCCACAGTCCCTGTGAAGAGAACAGCACTGACCCCACAGCTACGGCGAAGGAGAGAGCCTGCTTTAAAGGGCACAGGTGGGCACCACACACGCTTCTTCGAGCTCCCGTGTCACATTGACATTCTGCAACAAGACCCAGGAGGTAGGGGCTTACACCCACCTCGTTGGCCGGAGCTGTGCCCAATCCCATGGCTTTGAGAGGGGGGGTGTCCCTTTTGTGCCTCAGTTTCCCCTCCCCACCTCCCAGTCTATTTAGACCATGTTTTCTAGGGTAGGGGCTGTCTTTCATTAGGGCTCTGACACCCAGCATGCCAGGAGTCCTGATCTCAGGCATGGGGTGTCTGATGGGCCCTTGATCTCAGGTGGGGTGTCAGGTGCACCCCCAGTTTATAATCTAGGGCCCCCAGGGACGTTAATGGTGTTAGCACAGGTGTGCAGGGAGTGCAGTGAGGGTGTTTAGCTGCTGGCAGGAAGGGGCATAGCCTGGATTGAGGGGGGCAGAATGGCTTTACCTGGACCCCAAGCTGTGAGGAAGGTGCCAGGCCAAGCTCGAAGTGGGGCCATTTGGTGGACTCCTGGATAGCCAGGGGGTAGGTCCGGTAGCAAGATTGTTTGTTTGAAAGACACAGAACCATCATTGAACTGGGAGGATTGGTCCTAACTGGATGGACTGCTGAAAGTTTGGGGGTGAGAGATACCTTTGTCTTTCAAATCCTATTTAGCTTGGTAACACTTCTGTAAGAGTTTACTTATAATCACTTAACGGCTATTGTTCTCTAGTTAATGAACTTGTTTGAATGGGTTCATTAAACCGGTGTGATTTGACTGAAGTCTTTGGGGATTTCTACTCAGATTAATGAAGGCTGGGGCATGTTCGTTACCCTTTGATGGCCTAACAGACTTAATGAGTTTACCCTGTTCAGGGCGGTTTCCTGAGCAGTGTAAGACATGCAAAGCTGGGGCTGAGGGCTGTGAGGGGGGTTCTGTATCTGTTCAGGAATCATAGAATATCAGGATTGGAAGGGACCTCAGCAGGTCATCTAGTCCAACCCCCTGCTCAAAGCAGGACCAATCCCCAACTAAATCATCCCAGCCAGGGCTTTGTCAAGCCGGGCCTTAAAAACCTCTAAGGAAGGAGATTCCACCACCTCACTAGGTAACCCATTCCAGTGCTTCACCACCCTCCTAGTGAAAAAGTTTTTCCTAAGATCCAACCTAAACCTCCAACTGCAACTTGAGACCATTACTCCTTGTTCTGTCATCAGGTACGACTGAGAACAGTCTAGATCCATCCTCTTTGGAACCCCCTTTCAGGTAGTTGAAAGCAGCTATCAAATCCCCCCTCATTCTTCTCTTCTGCAGACTAAACAATCCCAGTTCCCTCAGCCTCTCCTCATAAGTCATGTGCGCCAGCCCCCTAATCATTTTTGTTGCCCTCCGCTGGACTCTTTCCAATTTTTCCACATCGTTTATGTAGTGTGGGGCCCAAAACTGGACACAGTACTCCAGATGAGGCCTCACCAATTTCAAATAGAGGGGAATGATCACATCCCTTGATCTGCTGGCAGTGCCCCTACTTATGCAGCCCAAAATGCTGTTAGCCTTCTTGGCAACAAGGGCACACTGTTGACTCATATCCAGCTTCTCGTCCACTGTAACCCCTAGGTCCTTTTCTGCAGAACTGCTTCCTAGCCATTCGGTCCCTAGTCTGTAACAGTGAATAGGATTCTTCCGTCCTAAGTGCAGGACTCTGCACTTGTCCTTGTTGAACCTCATCAGGTTTCTTTTGGCCCAATCCTCTAATTTGTCTAGGTCCCTCTGTATCCTATCCCTACCCTCCAGCATATCTACCACTCCTCCCAGTTTAGTGTCATCTGCAAACTTGCTGAGAGTGCAGTCCATGCCATCCTCCAGATCATTAATTAAGATATTGAACAAAACCGACCCCTGGGGCACTCGACTTGAAACCGGCTGCCAACTAGACATGGAGCCGTTGATCACTACCCGTTGAGCCCGACGATCTAGCCAGCTTTCTATCCACCTTATAGTCCATTCATCCAGCCCATACTTCTTTAACTTGCTGGCAAGAATACTGTGGGAGACCGTATCAGAAGCTTTGCTAAAATCAAGGAATAACACATCCACTGCTTTCCCCTCATCCACAGAGCCAGTTATCTCCTCATAGAAGGCAATTAGGTTAGTCAGGCACGACTTGCCCTTGGTGAATCCATGCTGACTGTTCCTGATCACTTTCCTCTCCTCTAAGTGCTTCTGAATTGATTCCTTGAGGATCTGCTCAATGATTTTTCCAGGAACTGAGGTGAGGCTGACTGGCCTGTAGTTCCCCGGATCCTCCTCCTTCCCTTTTTTAAAGATGGGCACTACATTAGCCGTTTTCCAGTCATCTGGGACCTCCCCCGATCGCCATGAGTTTTCAAAGAGAATGGCCAAAGGCTCTGCAATCACATCCGCCAACTCCTTTAGCAGCCTCGGATGCAGCGCATCCGGCCCCATGGACTTGTGCTCGTCCAGTTTTTCTAAATAGTCCCGAACCACTTCTTTCTCCACAGAAGGCTGGTCACCTTCTCCCCATACTGTGCTGCCCAGTGCAGCAGTCTGGGAGCTGACCTTGTTCATGAAGACAGAGGCAAAAAAATCATTGAGTACATTAGCTTTTTCCACATCCTCGGTCACTAGGTTGCCTCCCTCATTCAGTAAGGGGCCCACACTTTCCTTGACTTTCTTCTTGTTGCTAACATACCTAAAGAAACCCTTCTTGTTACTCCTAACATCTCTTGCTAGCTGCAACTCCAAGTGTGATTTGGCCTTCCTGATTTCACTCCTACATGCCTGAGCAATATTTTTATACTCCTCCCTGTTCATTTGTCCAATCTTCCACTTCTTGCAAGCTTCTTTTTTGCGTTTAAGGTCAGCAAGGATTTCACTGTTAACCCAAGCTGGTCGCCTGCCATATTTACTGTTCTTTCTACACATCGGGATGGTTTTTTCCTGCAACCTCAATAAGGATTCTTTAAAATACAGCCAGCTCTCCTGGACCCCTTTGCCCTTCATGTTATTCTCCCAGAGGATCCTGCCCATCAGTTCCCTGAGGGAGTCAAAGTCTGCTTTTCTGAAGTCCAGGGTCCGTATTCTGCTGCTCTCCTTTCTTCCTTGTGTCAGGATCCTGAACTCGACCATCTCATGGTCACTGCCTCCCAGGTTCCCATCCACTTTTGCTTCCCCTACTAATTCTTCCCTGTTTGTGAGCAGCAGGTCAAGAAAAGCTCTGCCCCTAGTTGGTTCCTCCAGCACTTGCATCAAGAAATTGTCCCCTACACTTTCCAAAAACTTCCTGGATTGTCTGTGCACCGCTGTATTGCTCTCCCAGCAGATATCAGGGTGATTAAAGTCTCCCATGAGAACCAGGGCCTGCGATCTAGTAACTTCTGCTAGTTGCCGGAAGAAAGCCTCGTCCACCTCATCCCCCTGGTCTGGTGGTCTATAGCAGACTCCCACCACAACATCACCCTTGTTGCTCACACTTCTAAACTTAATCCAGAGACTCTCAGGTTTTTCTGCAGTTTCATACCGGAGCTCTGAGCAGTCATACTCCTCTCTTACATACAATGCAACTCCCCCAGCTTTTCTGCCCTGCCTGTCCTTCCTGAACAGTTTATATCAGGGGTCGGCAACCTTTCAGAAGTGGTGTGCCGAGTCTTCATTTATTCACTCTAATTTAAGGTTTTGCGTGCCAGTAATACATTAACGTTTTTAGAAGGTCTCTTTCTATAAGTCTATAATATATAAACTATTGTGTATGTAAAGTAAATAAGGTTTTTAAAATGTTTAAGAAGCTTCATTTAAAATTAAATTAAAATGCAGAGCCCCCCGGACTGGTGGCCAGGACCCGAGCAGTGTGAGTGCCACTGAAAATCAGCTTGCGTGCCGCAGATTGCCTACCCCTGGTTTATATCCATCCATGACAGTACTCCAGTCATGTGATTTATCCCATCAAGTCTCTGTTATTCCAGACTCTGCCAGAGTTTTAGTCACGGCTGTTTTTAGTAAAAGTCACGGACAGGTCATGTGCAGTAAAAATTCATGGCTTGTGACCTGTCCATAACTTGTACTATATACCCCTGACTAACTTTTGGGTGTTTGGGGGCAGGGGAGGGGGTGGAGGGCACTGTGGGTGCTTTGGGGGGAGGAGGATGGCCGTGGCGCCCATGGGCCGCCACCCCTCCCACCCCAGAGCAGGAGCTGGCAGGCTCCCTACCTGACTCCATGGAGCCCTCTCCCACACCCAAACTCCTGCTGCTGCTGGGGGGGAGGGGCGTGGTTGCCTGATATTGCCCTGGCAAGGGCTGGTGCAGCTGGCTCAGGGGCCACCCACGCTGCTCAGGCAGCCCCCAGGCCAGCCGCACCTGCTGCTGCAGAAGTCACGGGGGTTCTGGAATGTCACAGACTGAGCAAACTATTTTCTATTTGTTTAATATTTTATTTGCTTGAAATTATTAATCTCAAAAAATGAAGGTATTTTCTTATATTAGGTAAATATTAGGACTTTCAATTAATTGCAGTTAACTCACACGATTAACAAAATTATTGCAATTAAAATTAATGGTGATTAATCAGTTTAATTGCACTGCTAAACAATAGAATACCAATTGAAATTTATTAAATATTTTGGATGTTTTTCTACATTTTCAAATATATTGCTTTCAATTACAACACAATACAAAGTGTACAGTGCTCATTTTATATATTATTACAAATATTTGCACTGTAAAAATGATAAAAGAAACAGTATTATTCAGTTCACCACATACAAGTACTGTAGTGCAATCTCTTGACTGTGAAAATGCAACTTACAAATGTAGATTGTTTGTTACGTAACTGCACTCAAAAACAAAACAACGCAAAACTTTGGGGCCTACAAGTCCACTCAGCCCTACTTCTTGTTCAGCCAATCGCTCAGACAAAGATAGCTACAGCACTCAACCTAATGTTTAAGAATCTGAAGTGCCTTCCAAAATCTGAGGGACGAGGTGTGGAGCATGCTTTCAGATGTCTTAAAAGAGCAACACTCTGAAGTGGAAACTACAGAACCTGAACCACCAAAAAAGAAAATCAACCTTCTGCTGATGACATCTGACTCAGATGATGAAAATGAACATGCTTCTATCTGCTCTGTTTTGGATTGTTGTTGAGCAGAACCTGTCATCAGCATGGACACATGTCCTCTGGAATGGTGGATGAAGCATGAACGGACATACAAATCTTTAGCGCATCTGGCATGTAAATATCTTGTGACACCGGCTGCAACAGTGCCATGTGAATGCCTTTTCTCGCTTTCTGGTGACATTGTGAACAAGAAGCAGGCAGCATTATCTCCTGCAAACGTAAGCAAACTTGATTATCTGAACAAGAAAGGCCTGAGTAGACTTGTAGGCTCTAAAGTTTTACATTGTTTTATTTTTGAATGCAGTTACATAAAAAAATAATTCTACATTTGTAAGTTCAACTTTCATGATAGAGATTGCACTACAGTACTTGTACAGTAACTCCTCACTTAACATTGTAGTTATGTTCCTGAAAAATGTTACATTAAGTGAATCCAATTTCCCCATAAGAATTAATGTAAATGGAGGGGTTAGGTTCCAGGGAAAATTTTTTTTGCCAGACAGACATAACCCCTCCTCCATTTATATTAATTCTTATGGGGAAATTGGATTCACTTAATGTAACATTTTATATACACATATATATGTAATGTGTGTGTGTGTGTGTGTGTGTGTGTGTGTGTGTGTGTGTGTGTGTGTGTG